CTGCCCAGGGAGGTGGTTGAGTCCCCATCCCTGGATGTGTTTAAGAATAGGGTGGATGATCTACTTAGCGATATGGTTTAATGGGGATTAGGGATGGTTGGACTTGATGATCTCTAAGGTCTTTTCCAACCTAGAAATCTATGAAATCTATGAAATCTTTTATAAATCTTCTGTTCAGTCCTTGCATTATGATTTTTGCTTTATTCTCCAATAGTGAAGAAACTCACAATTTTTGCAAGGTGCTTAATTTTATGACTTTATGATTTTAAAAGACTTTGTTCCTTATTTCTGGTATTCAGATCTGGACCAACTCACGGAAATAATGAAAATAACAGGTACACCAACTCAAGATTTTGTTCAAAAACTGCAGAGTCAAGATGTGAGTATTCTGCTTGGTCAGTTGGTTTTGCATGTCTTAATTAACTCGAGCTACGCTCAGTTCTTACACTGGCTGAGGTAATATGTATTGACTACTGGAATGACCCCTGATGGTACATCTCTGCCTTGAAGTGCTTTGCACACACAGAATAGCTATTGGAGATTAAGGAGGCGCAGAAAATGATCAGAACACTTGAAAAATCTATCTATTTAAATACATAAAAGTTTCCAGTGTGTACCATATAAACAGTTGAGCTCATACATTACTAGCTTTATCAGAAACACATTGAAAACATGAACCTATTGAGAAAACCCAGTTGTTCTGCAGATGTTTCTGACTTTGTCTTTCCTGTTCTTGTATGAATGTCCTCCTAGAATCCTTAAGCCCCTACTATGAAAAAAACAAAAATTAATCATAAGACTAACTATACAATTTAAATACTAATGTATTCCTGTATAAGGTTCACTTCTAGATATTCCTGTAAACTCACATTATTTCAAATTATGCATACGTATTTAATCTAATTAATATATTGAATATTTAGCACTAATAATTAAAGCTTTACATTATAATGTCTTAATCATAGTTTTAAGGCTTGATTTTAAAAAAAAAAAAGTTCCTTTCAACATGAAGATGGATATAATCAGGGTTTATGATGCCAAAAAAAAAAATCCATTTGTACAATGTGCTATGAAAGCATTGTTAAGGTACCTATTGAGCATATAGTTAATGTCACATTACAAAGGCAGCAAAGGTTTAATGTAATATTCATGTTTCTTTTAAGGCAAAAAACTATATCAAAAGCCTTCCAAAAGTCCAGAAAAAAGATTTTGCATCCATCTTGAAGTATGCGAATCCTTTGGGTAAGACAGTTTGTGTGGATGTGTACGATTTGTCTTGTTCTTGTGTTTGCATCGGAGGCAGCAGCAGTATCAGTCGTGATAGATTATGTGATGGTTGTCATGCTTGTCTATCTTTGGCTTTCCATAATTCATAATGGAATTGATTTTAGTGGCTGAACTTTGCCAAGTTTAGACCCTGCCAGGAATCAGGTGTTTCTTAGAAGAGCCAAAAAAGTATTTTATGTTTTAGGCTCTGATCCAGCATCTGCTTAATGGTTTTACTGGAGCAGCTTTCTCAAGAGCCCTGGGAAAATAAATATATACAATAAATTTTTCTGTGTGTTGTATTTGAAATATAATTCCAAAAGCTCGGTCTGATCTGCAGTAGAAACGCAAGCGAATAAAAATCTGACATTTTACTCACGGAATGAATACATCCTGAGAAACATCTGTGCATTCCTGAGAAGCACTGGCTTGGATTTGATAGGTACAAACAGCCAGAAGAGCATACCAAGCGTGCATAACTGTGACATGACCTGAGGCAGACAGAGCTCTGAGATGGCTCTGCCCAAACTTTATCCATTCCCCAATGACCTGAACACTGACAAAGCCAGTTTTATTAGAATATCAATTAGGATAATTGAGTCTTCTCAGTTTCAGAAGTTAAAATTGCATGTTCAGATACAGTAGAAAAAAACATGATTAATAAGCAGCTCTTACCCTGAGGGCATGGTTTCTCAGCTACAGCAGACTATATGCATTTCCGTTTAGTTTTTGGGATGCTTCTTCCTGACGCTTCTGTGCCCATCTGGCTGCTCCTTACGTAGAGAACAACTAACTGCTCATGATCTGGGAGAGAAGGCTGGAGAGAATCCACGATGTGGCAAGCAGGAGTTGCCACATCCTGTCCCATGCTGCTGCCTCTTCTTCCTTTAAGCTGCTCCGCCCAATCCAGGAATGTTCAGGATAGAAAAACAGAGAATAAACAGATTATTCATCATGCTGTTTACACAAGCCCATGTTAAAAGTCTTAACAGTGAACCTGATCCAAAATCCACTGGAGAAGAGCATACAAGATTTGCATGAACTCTTTTTGGCTGGGATCAAAAACACATAGTAGATAAAAGTCAGTGCTGAAATTCTGAGCATGGACAACTGATTTAGTGAACTTCAGAGTGTACTTGGGCTTGGATTTGGTCACACACAGAGAGCAATTCTCATTAGCTGTACACTCACCTGTTCATTCTGCTGCTGTCAGATCATGATGTGCCTTCGATGATGAAGGACACCTGGGAAAGCCCCAAGCACAGTTGTCCTGGGGCAGAGAAGTCGTTAGCTGAGGTGATGTGGCTGTATGGCATACAGAAGCAAGGGAGCATCTCTGCATTGCATCAGGCTTTGTACACATCCCAGCTTTCTTACAACACTATTTTGTCATGCGGATGGGCCCCACTGGCTATAGAGTGAACACCCAATGATTCTGCTTTGTAACGCTGTGAATTTATTTGAGATAACTCAGGGCAACATTACTGTGTACAAGCTGGAATCAGTGGTGTGATTTGAATGCACTGTTTGTTTTCTGTTCAATAGCTGTAAACCTTTTGGAGAAGATGCTGGTGCTGGATGCAGAGAAGCGAGTCACAGCAGCTGAGGCTTTGATGCATCCTTACTTTGAACCAATTCACGATCCTGAGGAAGAAATTGAAGCTGAGAAATACGACGACACGTTTGATAACATGGATCTTCCGCTAGATGAGTGGAAGCGTGAGTTTAGTTTTGTGATATTTTCAAAAATGACTAGATAGAAGGGCCATCCAGAAATAGGAATATTCCCTTTTACAAATTACTTTCTCTGCTTTTGATGGAACAGAGTAAGTAGACAGCATTAAGATAGAGGAACGCTATTGATAAGCCAGTGTTTCTCTTATCAGGTCCTCCTGGAATGGTCTCCAAAGGTTTCTGCTCTGCCTCCTAACAGAGGCTTTCCTTCCTCCTCCTCATCCTTCTTCTTCATGTCTCTGTCCTCCCATCTTCTGCAACGTAAACCATTTCTGTAACATGTTCCGTCCAGTGGGTGGGACAGGCAAAGAGATTCCTCAACTGTTGGCTCTATAGGACTGCAATGGTTGCTGGCCTGAATTTTAGGTTAGATTCTCTCAGGGAGAGAAAACATATGTATCTCAGCAGAGATTTAAGTCTGAACCTAGTTCTCATCTAATGTCAGAGGTTTGTATTTTGGCTTTTAAGTGAGGACTTGACTTTTAAAGCTGATGTGTTCAGTAGCTCTTTCTGAGGATATTGCCCCCTATACTGTAAAGTCAATGCTCGCATCCCTTTGAAAGCACCTATAACATTTCACTTTTGGGCTACTTTTTCAAATCTGAAATGCGGAAAAACCAGTCTCTGATTCTGTTACTTTTTGTACTCTTTCTCTCTTTTTTGCCTGAAGAGGTCTCTCTCTTCCTAACCTAGATCAGAGCCTAACCATGCTGGGGGTTGCACCTTGCTGGTGTCTGTGCAGCTCCTTTTCTGAGTAGGCCAGCAACAATATGTTTATTCCATTGTTTTCCAGGCATTACATATAAAGAGATACTGAACTTCAAGCCACCACAGACATCAGAGTCAAAGGAGACAGCGGTGTAATTATATGACTCGGTCTTTTCAGAACTCAGAACAGAGCAGGAAAGTTGTAAATGTTTGTGATACTTCAGGTGTATAAAACTTTTATAAATAAACTGGATGTAGTCTGTTTCATCGGTGCTGTAAGGAAGAGAAATGTCTTTTACTCTGCATGTGGAAGTTGGTGCCTTTAGAAGTAGCATTTCAAAACTGTCCAGAAACCTGTTCTTGCCTACAACTTCTTCATTCTGCATGAAAGGATTCAGACTGTGGTAACCTGCTGCCATCCTTGAAAGAGCAGGTAGAACTATTTCTTCAAATCAGAGATCAGAAGAGTATAAGTTACCACCCTAAGCAAGCCGAAACACAGAGCATATCAGAGATGTGCCATGACTGCTCTCCAAGGCCATTGAACTCTCTTGAATGCAAGAAGTATTCGTGTGACTTCCTCAGGAATATTTCACCTCAGTAAGATGTCTGGGGAGGCTAATCAGCTTCTGCTACCTCAGCTGGTGCAGTGGGTAGCAGAGACACAGCCCAAATGAATGCCTATGTCCGTTGTCCTATGTGAGTGGAGGAGAACCTGAGCTCCAGCCGTTTCTGACAGATCTGGGAAGGAGGCAAGAAGCAGAGAAGTATTGATGTCCTGGATTTTTTCAAAGTAACCAGCATAGCAGGACAAGATTTGACAAACACACTAGATGAACAGTTGCTAGATAAACAATCACTGTCAAGGGGTGCAATATTTTCCTCTGAATACAGTGCAGTCTCTTTGTGTAACAGACTAGGGATCAAGGATTTCCTGGGAGAAATTCTTAAGACTCTCTAAAATTTTGTAATCTCTCTAGCATCTCAGTATTGAAATGATCAGTGGGAAAGTACATCTTCTGAGAGGACATACTGGTTATAGAATCAGTGGTGTTGATTTTAGAAATAAAGCTGCATGTGGGTCACATTATAGAAAATGAGGATAAAAATGCTACGCTGCAGCTGTTCATTGGGAATACCTGCAGCAGACTGTTCTGGTCACAGTGTATAGAGGTGTTGCCAGGTGCAGAATAACAACCATTCCTTTTTTCAGCCTTTTAAACTCGTCTTATGTCGCAGCTGGAAGGCTTCAGGCAGCTCCAAGCAGACCAATGTTCTAATGCGAAGGCTTTAGGCTCTACTCTAAGGAAGGCCCACACTCCTCTAAGGCTCAGGAGAAAATGCCTCGCCCTTAGGAGTAAACGCCCTG